TTTTGCCTCAGATCTGTTATCAGCTGTTCTATAAAGTGGCATGTGTGTTTGTAAATAGGTTTTTGTGAATATATCAAGAAGTATACATGTCTTTGTCAATGTTGTAGAAGTCTATGGATTTTTTTTAAAGACTTAACTGAGCAACTGTTGCACATTTCGTTAATGCTTTACACATATGCTGTTCTAAATTATTGCTGATGAGTTGTAAAATAAATATCAAAATCTGAACATTGCAGATCACTTCTTATTCTACACCAGTTTTTCATGTCTTCACAGTCTTACGTGTAATAAAATCCAGCTTCGGTCATTGTCTATTAATAAGCAACGAGTCACGAGAAACAATACAAAATATTGGACAGCATTAGTATAATGGGATTAATGAATAATAAAAATATTAGAAGTTCAATGGGTGGAATGTAATGCTACACATCAGCTGACAGGTCACAGCAGAGGAATGTACAGTAAGCCAAGGCTTTAAACAAAAGTCATGTGATAAAAGGGGTGATGAAGTGAGATTATAGTCTGTCTGTACAGGCTGAAGAAAAACAGGGGGCCCTCATTCCAACCTGTCAAAAGCTTTAAACAAGGTTAAAACTTGTCTTTGTTGTTGCCGTTAATTGGCTTGTAGCAATATCATTTTAATATTAACATGGCATTCCAGTTTCTCACCCCTTTTTTTTTTTTTTTAAAGCAATCTTGGTAACGGTATAAACAAGTTCATTATACACGTTTCATTACTGATGGAATAAGACCCACACTACAAATCCAACAACAACTAAATTCAAAAAAAGTCTTAATTATGGTACAAAAAAGAAAAACCCTTGAAAGTTTAGATTCAAAGCTTAGATTGTTTTTGGTGAAATGAAGTTTCACCAAAAACATATTTTTAAACAGCTCATTTTCATATTCTAACATTATTCTTTTTCCACACTGCATGTAAACATACCCAACTCCTGAGCATTTCCCACCATGTTTGCCTCAATTACAAAGTAAATGTCTCCCCCTACTGGTGAAAAGCGGAAACACTATACAACGTAGTACAGAATCCTTTTCATTTACACCCATGGGCTGTTTTTAACACTTACATCAAGCACCAGCGACACATTTAATTTTGTCAGATGGTTTATTGAACCATGCAATCCATGTCATATCAGCAGCCTGTTACAGCCATACATCTGTCAACACTTTGCAGTATATTAAGGCAGAGAAGAAGAAGAAAAAACAACAAAAAACAGGTTATGTACAGTCGACATCTTACGCTTTTCTAGAAGATATGCAGCTGTAAACAACGACCATAACTATGAGACAGTACTGATCCAAACTACAGTATAAATGTGCTGCATGACAAGTAATAAATCTAAACTAATGTTTACTTCATTTTACAGCACTACTGTTATGGTGACAATAATACACCAAGGGGGGGGAAAAAAGCATGAAAACTAATGTACTTTCCTTCCACAGGGACACAAAAAAACAAAACAAACAAAAACAAAACAAAACAAAAAAACAACAACTATAGAAAAAAAATACTATATACTCTTTGCTGCTGTGCCGTTTTAGCTTCTCTCACTAATATCTACTCACATTTGGTCTAAACTGGCTATGCTCATTCCTTAAATGGCCCCACTAAAGATTTACTGTACATTATTTGAATACACCCACTGTGGAATTGATATAAGGCACTTTAATGTTAATTAGCAGCTGGACTACAACCCAAGGAGTTCACACGTTTGTATTCGCGTGCACACACAGTCACACAGACAGTCACACACACAGTCACACACGATTTACTACTTAATAAGGGCTTCATACCTTGGCTATTTTGATGCGCATAGTTACAAACAAACTCTAATAGACACACTAGCTTAGCTGGAACTATCCACCCTATTACTACATGCCTCCATTTTCAGATCTAACTAACAGATTAAATGGAGTGTGGTTGCTGTGCACATTCATATATGGACAACATAATCATGCATCAAGACCTGCCTATCTTTGGCCATATGATAATCAAGAAAAACAAGCATAACACATTTGGCAAAAATATAGTGTGAGGACACAAAATGAAGAAAAAACAAACAAAAAACAAAATCAGTGTAAAAGGATTAATAACACCATTTCAGTGTGCAGATATTACTGCAGGAATGAGGAACAGCATTGGTATGACGGTAAATGCACCGCTTGGTAATAAAATATACTAATCCACTAAATAAAGATGAAAAGTAAGAAAACATATTTACAATAAGCCATCATTTTGGTGCATACAGAATGCAACATTCTACAGTAAGGAAAGCATTTGTGCATAGTTTTCATTTGAACAAAGATCGCAGGAATAGATTCTGATATGCAAAATGATGGATTGTTCACAATTTTACTCTAAGTAGATCCTTCACTTATTTAAGAATCAGCTGATTTTAAAGACATAAGGTTCATAGGTTCACATAGCCAAAATTCCAAAGGCAATAGTTTTGATTCACCATGCTATGCAGAAAACAATAAACATCATTCAGCAGGTACTGAAGTGAGAGTACATCAGGTGGATATGTTTATAACAAAAGGCCAGATGTTTACATGGTAATTTATTGGTTCTGTTATCATTTTTTTTTTCATGCCATAGCTGCTAACCATCTCTCATTCCTACCAAGTGCTCCATGCCTTTTAGTCAAAGATTACATCTTCAAAGTAAAGGTTGCCTTAATTGAGAAAAACACAAAAACAGTGCATAGTAGTGTGCTACGGAGGCATTCTGTACTAAAATATCAACTTACAAAACTGTTCTGGGGTGAAACTGGCTGTTGGCACGGGGGCGAGATGTGTTGCTTCCACAGCAGAACCGTCTCACACATAGATGCCTTCTGGGTTCAGACCAGAGCTGAGAGGACTGTGAAGGGCCCGGAGATGATTGGGCATCGGGAGGGTCGACACAGGGCGCTTTAACGAGCCAGACAGGGGCACTAAATCTGACAACAAATATAAAAACATCAACAAAATGAGAAACAATACTCTAACTATCAAGTGCATTTCAAAATTTTAATAATAAAAGCATTGGACTGTGGCAAGCGGCATCAAAGACTAACATTTAGCATTTTTTTTTAAATTTAAAACTTGATTTATGATCAACTAATGCCTCAAAGCTTATGAATAAACGCAAATTTTAATGGCGAGATTTCCAAATGACAACCATTAGTTAAAAACATACACATGCTGATGATGTAATGCAGTGTAATTTTGCTAAACGGGCACCAGGGGGCAGGACTGGGCCGTGCAAAGAATCAGCCAGTGCAGTTAATTTTAATGGCCAGGAACTAAAGCCTTTGTTGATTTACACTCTGCATTGAAGGTTACAAGAAGATCATCATCAACCCTCCATTATTACTTTTCATAATGAGAAACTATTACCATGAAGTGCATCCAAGAGATCCAATGGTGTAAACAGTTCAATTCAATTAGCACAAATCCAATGTGGCATACATTATTACACCACCAGTATAACCAAACTATATAACCAGCTTCACTATATGCACAGTAAATGGAATTCATTCAGATGAATGACTTCATTTAAATAAAGCGATTCAATATTCAGTATTAATAAACGGAAATCCAGGTTTTTATTTACTTAAAAATAAATGCTCAGTTTTTAAGGAGGTGTGAATGTGGAGTACATTTATGATATCATATTTATGCCTTTGCATTTATACATTTGGTTCTGAGGTTGTTGTTTTTTTTTTGTTTTTTTCTTCCAATATATTTTTATTGATTTTATAATTGAGCAGTATACAACAATCACCCTCAAAAGAACACAATAGAAGGTGGACGGCAAGTCAACAAGGTGGTAATACAGCATACATAAATGTTAAGACAGAGTATATTTCACTTAAGTTTATCCATCAGGCTAATGACTGGTTGCCAAATCTTATAAAACACACTCTCTCGGTTAGACAAGGTAAACCTGATATTCTCCAGATGGAGTACATTTCCAAATTCTCTCAACCACATTTC